ATCCGGTGTAAAAACAAAATTACATGACGCTCTTTCTTTAAAGGAACAAATATTATGAAACCATATGTTTTAGTTCCAGGAAAATATCTTATAAAGGTGGAAATAATATTATGTACCGTTCCTACTCGCTTATTAGTCGGAAAATTGGGAGTAAAATTCATAATCCAGAGAGGGGGGCCGACTAATAGACGAGATCTAGCGACCAGAGGAAAAATCCAAGCTTGAGAAAAGTGGTCAGGAGTGAATTTCCTGGTCAAAACTACGTTTTTGATTGCCAAACCTACATAAATCAATAAATAAAAAGTTTTTGTTGAAAATAAATGACTTCAATACTGTCTTTGTGTTTTATTTGTTCTTTGGTAAACCAGGAACATATATATTGACGGGACTTGACACTACCTGATTGTAGTCGATTTTATCGTCGTGCCATAATTAATAAAGATACGATACAGAAACAGACATGTGTTAAAAACGGACTCGCTATTATCCTAATAATTTCTGATATTATCAACAAAATGTCATTCAAACTAGTTTTATAGTGATGCTAGTGTATCAAACTTGTATTCTGTCACTTCAAATTTGTTAAAATCGCAAGCATTTCATCACAGAATTGTGCAGAATGCAAACCAGGTAATAAAAAAATGGCGGCCATTGCCGCGATGATTTACAAATTCCCAAACTATTATAAAACACTTCACATCAAATAAATCAAACTTATTTTGGTAATTTTATATGACAAAATATATCTACTAAATGATAAAACTTGTATTTATTTACAATTAGAGTTATGTGGTTTATTTGTTGAGCAGTTCTGATAGTTTTTCAGTCAGACGCTACCAAAATCCGTAAATCTCGGGAAGTCTCGGGGAGTCCGAGATTTTATCAATTTTATACTGAAAAGCGTATCAGATTCATTTCCCGTTAGATATACTGTTCCCAGGGTAAACATTTTCTGCAAATTCGTGTTGAAATTCTACTGTTTCCGGTTTGTGTATTGATTTTCATGGTCACATGGTTTTCCTATAAACCCAAAAGAAGAGCCAAGAACCAAAAATGAAAAGGAGATAACAATGTACCAAATATGTGAAAGGATGTTTTCAGCGGAGTTATTGTGTCATTATTGTGATATCATGATATCAATTCAATGCTTATAAATCATATAATAATCAAAAAATAATTTTAAGATTCATTCCCAAAATCAAAATATTATTCATTATAGTGTCTCAGGTAAACAAAAATTACAAAATTGATTGACAAGCCAATATAATCCATTGATAACCCCAATTAAGAGACAAAGAGTTGTATTCACTAAAGGTGTGAAAACTATCAGTGATAGGTAAACAGATGACACTAATGAGTTGGAGTTAGTTATTTTAATATATTGATTAGCTTCACTTAATTTTTTTAATCCTTTAATCATCACAATATAATAAGAATTATGAAGTGTTCATGCTCATTTAACACCGAGTTATGTATGCTGTGAAAAATATTTTCATCAAGTGTTGATTGACTTTAAATTTTTCAGGTTCATATTGGTTTATATTCGCTTTTCTCAAACAGTAGGTTGTTAGTCATACCCTACAAAATCATTGATGCATTACGTAAACAACACATGGCTAATCTGACATTTGAACAGTGAACAAAACAAGAGAAATGAATACATCTTTATTATTAACAGCAATATAAATTATCATGATGAGCATCAACTAAATTCAAACCAAACAAACATTAATGCAGAAATGAATATTATTCCTGGATTTGCATTGGTTTTACCGGCGTTCAGTTACTGTCAGCTGAAAAAAAAAATGCCCAAATTTTGTCCGACTTATACGAGGGTCAAGACTAAATCCTTAGAATTTGGAGCTGAAAAGGGACCCCGACTTATAGTAGGATCGACTATTAGGCGAGTATCTACGGTAATGTTAGTTCCCAAGAACTTTTATTTTCCATATGTTTGTTCCGGGGGGAACAAGTATTATGCGGAACAAATATATGTTCACAACTTAACTACATCAAGTAAATTTAATTTTGATAATCGCGAAATGGGCTAGAAAGGGCTAAACGAGAAATAAAGTATCCGTGAAAATAAGTTGGTTTACAGTATTTTAATCTTCTGTGGATTAATTCATTTTTGTGGATTGAGAAAAAAAAAAAATTCACGAATATTTGATTTTGTGGTTTTACCTGTCAGGGTCATTACTTAAACAAGTAACTTTCAAAATAACCTATACAAGTAATGCTGAAAACGTGGCTATTTTTGGAAATTACTTATATAAGTAACTTTTGGAGAAAAAAAATTTATAGGTGTCCATTCATACAGATTTTACTAGATTTAAAAAAATTTCACAGAAATCTGGTTATTTTTCCCATAAAAAATAGAAATTAATCCTCCTGAAACACTAGCTACCTTTCTGATGCACTTACATTTCATATTGACGCTTATGGGTCAAAGATTGGTCTTTTGGGACTATTAAAATATAATTTTCCTTGAAAAATTTTAAGGTAGACAGAGATAATTAGATGGAAACTTGTGATTTAATCAAGCTTGAAGTTATTTATAATTTGCAACCCAAAACAATAATATATATTCCTTGAATAATTGAAATCATTAATTCTTTCAAAGATGTATAAAATAACTGATACAAGTAATATTTTTGTCATTATTTTTAAAGTAACCCATAATCTCTATAATCCTCTAAAATTTGATAAATTCTTAATTTCATGTATTAAAATGATGTAAAAATTCATTAAAACTACATTAAGTCCATATTTCTATTGAAAATTAAAATAACTCCATTGAGTAATTTAATAATTTTTAAAAACAAAAATTACCTATATAAGTAACTAAAAAATGTTACTTGTTTAAGTAACGCCCCTGACTGTTTACCAAGTTCTGCATATAAACTTATAGAAATTTGTACTTCGTTAAACATTTACATTCATAGTTCACCTTGACCCACGTAATCCACAAAATTGTTATTCCATGAATAATAATGAATCTGAAGGAAATAGATTTTATCAGCATGAAAATATTTAGATGTAACTTGACTTTAACTGTGTCTGCTTGTGTTAAAAATTTTATTTTTTACAGGGTACCACAAAGAACCGAGCATTCTCAGAAATTAAATTCAAAGTGTGTCCGACAGAAGCTTTCGCTAGAGAACAATTCAAAAGATTTGGTGTTGAACATTACTGGGACTTAGCTTACAGTGGTGCTGTCATGGAAACCACTGGAGATGACCTTTGATAGGGATTAAATTTGTTTTCTGTATTTTGTTGAATTTACTATGAAATGTAGTCTTATCATAGGAATCTGATGTTCAGTAGTTGTCGTTTGTTGATGTGGTTCATAAGTGTTTCTCGTTCTTTATATAGATTAGACCGTTGATTTTCCCGTTTGAATGGTTTTACACTAGTAATTTTTGGGGCCCTTTATAGCTTACTGTTCGGTGTCAGCCAAGGCTCTGTGTTGAAGACCGTACTTTGACCTATAATGGTTTACTTTTATAAATCTTGACTTGGATGGAGGGTTGTCTCATTGGCACTCATTGATAAAAAAGAAAAAGACCAAAAGACAAACAACAGAATACAAAACAAGATAGAAAACTAAAGACAGCAACACAAACTCCACCAAAAAATGGGGGTGATTTCAGGTGCTCTTGAAGGGTAAGCAGATCCTGCTCCACATATGGCACCCATCATATTGCTCATGTAAGTACAAACTTGGTGATAAGTTTAATTCAGTAGGTCACGTTCTGGGAAAAGAGTATGTTATTGTGGTTACGACAATTGGAACATACCTGTCGTCATCTTGGAAACAGATATTCCATATCAGTCAACCAACTCCTGATGTGTCCTTAAAATTTACGAAGGGATGATTTCAACTTCACAACTTAGAACTCTTGGTTTAATAGCTTCCTTGTGAGCAGCAACCCTTTATCAAGGAATTCATGATAGTGAGATGTCAATAACTGCCTTAAATCTGATGGTTTAAAATTCTCGAACTCTTGAACAACAACAATAATTTAAATGAAAAGGAGCTTTCTACCACCAATTAAAATATTCTATACCAGTTTTTATACGCCCGTTTTATGATATGTTATCAAAAAAAAACTTAAAAGACATGGTATGATTGCCAATGAGACAACTTTCCACCAGAGACCAAATGACATAGAAGTTAGCAACTATAAGTCACCATACTGCCTTCAACAATGAGCAAAACCCATATCACACAGCAAACTATAAAAAGCCCAAAACAGACCAATTTAAACAATTCAAACGAGAAAACTTACGCCCTGATTAATATTTATAATAAACAATAAAGGAAAAGAAATATGAAATACAGCAACAATTGACAACACTAAATTACTTGACTTAGGGCAGGCATATACTAAATGTGGTGGTATCAAAACATTCTCTAGATTTTGTACTAGAGATGAGGCTCCTTAAGGGGTCAATTGACAATTTTAGTCCTGCTGACTTATTTGTAGATCTTACTTTGCTGATTTTCATTGCTGCTTACAGTTTACAGGTTGAATGAAAATTTCAGGGCAGATAGATCTAAACCTGATGAACATTTTTATCCCGCCAGATTTACTCTTAATGTTTTAATTTCAGAGATATAAGCCAAAAACTGCATTTTACCCCTATGTTCTATTTTTAGCCATGGCGGCCATGTTGGTTGGCAGGCGGGGTTGTCGGACACATTTTTATACGACTGCAAAAAAATTTGCGGTCTATCAAGCTGCGCCCAGCGGAGCATTTTATTAAAATAAGATACCCCAATAATGATTGTGGCCAAGTTTGGTTAAATTTGGCTGAGTAGTTTCAGAGGAGAAGACTTTTGTAAAAGTTAACGGATGACGATGGACGACAAGTGATGAGAAAAGCTTACTTGGCCTTTCAGGCCAGGTGAGCTAAAAATTGCTGAACATTAATTACATATTCACACCTCTTGAACAAATTGTGTGGACACATCTCAATAAAATAATAAAATTGAATTGATTTAAAAATTTTATTATCTATGACCGTAGTTCAATATTGCACAAACAACTTACAAGCATTTTACATCACTTTAAAAAATAGCATTGAAAATGTATTATCTTATTACAGACCAGTACATGTACTTTTAAGCACTCATTCCTGTTCAATTGTTGATTGACAGATGTTCCGTTCACTATCAATTTCAATAGTTTTTTCAAACAGTATAAACTTGAAAGACTCTGTAATGCCATGAATATCTTAAATATAAAACTTTACACATTTGTTTAGATATCATCTTAGACATTTGTTTAGATATCATCTAAGACATTTATTCAGATATCATCTTAGACAGTTGTTTAGATATTGAACGAACATGCTTGTTATTTTTGAAGTGTCTTCAACTGGATGCATTTTTGTATAAGTTATAAACTGTCTCTTGTGTCTTTGTAACTCTGCTAAAGTATAAACACGGATCATTTGTATCTACAGAAAGTTAAGGAAAATATTTAAAAAAACTACTACACACAAAAGGAGTAGGGGCAACAATAAGGCCCTTATTTGGCCCAAATATTAGTGCAAATTATAAAGTTTCCATACAAAATCTTAAATTTGTCCTAACTACCACTAAGGTACTAGGTGTTCAGAAAATAAAAATAAATTTCACATTTAACGAGTTACTATGGCAACAAAACATGACGAAACTTGTATATAATGTAAACATTTTGTAATTTCCTCGTACTTTTAAGTATATATTAGTTTGGCAAAGTATGTGTTATAATCGAGCTTCTCTTAAATATTGTTTCTCGGCTGCACACAATGTTTCTAAAAAGGAAATAACAATTGAAAACTGCATAAATTCAGCAGTTTTCTTCATTTTCATGAAAACGATGCATATTATGACGTAACTGTGACGTAATAACATAAAAAATCTTATGTAGTTCATTTGTATTTCTTGATTTTATGCATTTCCAAACATTATATGCATATTTGAAATAGCTCTCAAAAACTTTTTTTCTTTGGCCAAAACCAACCCTTAATGCCCCTACTCCTTTCTTCCTAAGTAATACTGATGTGCTTATTCCAATACGCTCCAAACTTTAAATATGTGTGTTTGTACAGATGAATTCCAGGGTATTTTTTTCAAAAACTAATACCACCCATATTCTGTCCATTTTTATTCTATTCCTACAAATGTTTTCATACAGTAGAGTGGACACACTGCAATCAGATCTTTTTATCAGTATTTTTGCAACAAGTCTGTTGAATTCTATGTAGAAAAACTAGAGGCACTAAAGGGCCTGTGTCACTCACCTAGGTCTATTAGGGCCTGAATCTAGGATTTTGGAGAGGGAGAAGTGAAATTCCATTACCATTTTGGTTGTGTAGTGTTTTCTTGCTTATTACGGAAATGGTTTTATATATGCATTAAAAAATATACTTGCAGTGTTTTTAAATGATCTGTCAATCACACAAAGAGCTAATTTTTATTATTTCTGCTATAAAAGAAATCTCTTTTATTAACGAGTTGGTACCGAATAGTACAACTGGAATAAAAATACTGAAGTGCTGAATGATTACACAACATCCTCATGACGAAAATGATAGTAAAATGATAACTCAAACAGTCACCCAGTTTCTCGTTTTAATAGTTTTCAATGTTAAATCCAAGGATGTTCAAATTCGTCGTTGTACTTAATTCATTTAATCGTCGGCAGTATTAGTCTTTGGTCGCTATGAAAATCTCGCTTTTCGTTGTCAGTCCCCATTTTTGTATACCTGTTCTACTTGTAAATCACAAGTTGTCTCCCTAATACCAATTTTGATAGCGACTTTGACTTCGCTAAGAAGTCAGTTGGCTGGCGAGTTTTAGCGATTTTCAAAATTCTTTGACAACTTTAAATGTAATTTCGCAAGCAAGATTATGGCCTGTTTATGTGCAACTTCAACAATAGACACTCTTCATTATTGTAGACTAGAATAGAATTCATGACAAATATCTAGAATTGGTGGATCCTGTCTTGCTGATAATTTTTGTTATTAAAGAGTCTATCTTTTACAGTTTTCAAGATGGTAGGCAAAAACACAAAAAAATGGAAAAAATAGTTATTAAAGAGCAAGGACTTCAATAATGAGCGACTCTCAATTTGGGCCATGTTGACTTTTTTTGTGGATCTTGTATTGCTGATCTTTTTATCTGTCGACAGTTTCTTTCTATCTTCTTTACTTTTTCCACAAAATCAGGCAAAACCATCTTCATTTAAGGACAATCACTCCTATAAAGGTCTACTAACAATTTCGGCAAAATTTAACTTTAATAGCATTTGTAGATCTTGTCTTGCTGATAATTTTTGGCTATTTAAAGTGTCTATCTATTCTGTTAATAGGCAAAAATACTAAAAATTGGTATTAATAGTCATTAAGAAGCAATAACTTGAATATGGAGTTGAATGACCATTTCTGCAATTAGACTTATTTATAGATCTTGTCTTGCTGACCATTTTTGCTTTTTAAAGTTTCTATCTATTAAAGTTTTTAAGATGTATGCAAAATACCAAAAAATTGGTAAAAGTTGTTATTAAATGTCAAGAACTCCAATAAACATTTGTCTGGCCGTTTCAGCTATATGAATTGTTTGTAGAACTTGCCTTGCTCTTCAATTTTGCTATTTAGTTTCTCTCCATCTATTATTGTTTTCAAGATAATAGACAAAAATGTAGTTTTCAGGGGAGAAGAATTTTATATTTATAAAGTTGAAGGACGACACCGCATGCCAAGTGATAAGAAAACAAAACTAAACACTACTATAACTAGTTAAAATTGATGAAGACACATATATAAATGTTAGAAAAGAAACATGCCTCATCACCTTCAGTTATTTCTGACAGAAAAGGATACTTTTTCTTGAGTTCCAGGTATTGATATCAAGTCCCCTGGTACACCTGTCTTCTGTGTTTCCATTATAACCTGTCAAAACAAACTTCAATGTTTAAAATTGTCATCATTGTTATAATTAAGGATGTTTGCTACTCTTATCTTTTTACTTTTTGTCAGGCATTCGAAATCCTCTAGTTTTATCCATGTAGTGCTGATAAAAATTTTGCCCGATAACTTTTAATATACTTTTCTTTTCTTATTACATAGTTTAAAATGCCATTTTTGAAAATCCTATAAAATTCTTGTTATTTTTGCATAGTTTTTAAAAGAAAAAAGTACCAATGTAAATGTATGAAAAATCTAGAGGGATAATAATTTCCCGCCAAATTTTCAATTGATTATTTCTCAAAATTAAGAATACAGACCACATTTTTTTCGGAATTTTAAGTTCTGTTTTTTATATACCATAAATTTATAACTGTCATTTAAAAAGTATGTTATTTTGAAACAGAGGAGCAAACATCCTTAAGTTTCTATCTGATGTATCTTTAAAGTACCATTTTACTTCTGTACTCTTTGTCAAAATATTCCATATCTGTCAAAGATATTTAAAGATAAAATATGGAAGATCCTGAATATCCTATGCTAAGATATTGTTTGTAGGGTATAGTTTCCATATATTTTAGTTTTCTATAGGCTTGTATGTAGCCACAAAAATACAATTTTCCCTCAATTTAAATAAAATGCTCCGCAGGGCACAGCTTGATACGACCGCAGAGGTCAAACCCTGAACAGTTGGGGCAAGTATGGACACAACATTCAAGCTTGATACAGCTTTGCATTTGGATTGTGATTAAATATTTGACACAGCATAGGTTTCTGACACAGAATGAATGTGGTCTAAGAACTTAAAAATTTTTAAATTGGACATTCACCTATTATGGTCCAATATCCAAAATCTAAATACATGGTTAGAATCAGCATATCAAAGAACCCCAAGAATTCAATTTTTGATGAAATCAAACAAAGTTTAATTTTGGACCCTTTCGACCTCAATGTGGACAAAGTTAATAACGGGGCCCAAAAATCAAAAATCTAAATACATGGTTAGATTCAGCATATCAAAGAACCCCATATATTCAATTTTTGATGAAATCAAACAAAGTTTAATTTTGGACCCCGATTTGGACCAACTTGAAAACTGGGCCCATAATCAAAAATCTAAATACATGTTTAAATTCAGTATATCAAAGAACCCTACGAATTCATTTTTTGTTAAAATCAAACCAAGTTTAATTTTGGACCCTTTGGACCTTAATGTAGACTTATTTGAAAACGGAACCAAAAATTAAGAATCTAAATACACGGTTAGATTCGGCATATCAAAGAACCCCAATAATTCAATTTTTGATGAAATCAAACAAAGTTTAATTTTGGACCCTTTGGACCTCAATGTGGACCAATTTAAAAACTTGGCCCAAAATCCAAAAACTAAATACACGGTTAGATTCAGCATATTAAAGAACCCCAAGAATTCAAGAATAAAACCCCATTGAAATTGGTCAATAAATAAGCAATTTATACGAAGTATCTTCATTTGCACAATACTGTGCAATTTAATATTTCTTGCTATTGCGCAATACTGTACAATTGACAATTTCTTGCTATTGCGCAATATTGTGCTATTGGATATTTCTTGCTATTGCGCAATACTGTGCAATTGAAGATTTCTTGCTATTGCGCAATACTGTGCAATTGAAGATTACTTGCTATTGTGCAATACTGTGCAATTGAAAATTTCTTGCTATTGCACAATACTTATTATATAATAATTTACACATCCTGTTTGGTGTGTATCTCCTACCATATCATTATTATTTGCTTTTAAATAAGAATTAGAAATAACCAACTTAAAATGGAAAATTTTAAAAGAAAATATAGGAAAAAAAGAAAAAAAAGGAAAAAAAAAAATCCCCCCCTCCTCAAATTTTTTGAACCCCCTTATGATTCATCACACCCAAGCTCAATCCCAGCCTTCCCTTTGTGGTATGGTACCTTGCAGTACAATTTCAGAGAGATCCATACACTTACACACAAGTTATTGTCTGGAAACTAGAAAAATGTGTTTTTTGGCCCCTTTTTGGCCCCAAATTCCTAAAATATTGAGGCAATTACCCCCATCATCAATCCCAGCTTTCCCTTTGTGGTATGGTACCTTGCAGTACAATTTCAGAGAGATCCATACACTTGAACACAAGTAATTGTCTGGAAACTAGAAAAATGCTTATTTTTGGCCCCTTTTTGGCCCCCAATTCCTAAACGTTTCAGCAATTACCCCCAAACTCAATTCCAGCTTTCCCTTTGTGATATGGAACCTTGTAGTACAATTTCAGAAAGATCCATACACTTACACACAAGTTATTGTCATGAAACTAGAAAAATGCTTGTTTTTTGCCCCTTTTTTGGCCCCTAATTCCTAAAATTTTGAGGCAATTACCCCCAAAATCAATCCCAGCATTCCTTTTGTGATATGGAACCTTGTGGTACAATGTCAGAGAGATCCATACACTAACACACAAGTTATGTCTGGAAGTTACAAAAATGCTTATTTTTGGCCCCTTTTTGGCCCCTAATTCCTTTACTGTTGGTACCATAACCCCCCAAATCAATCCCAACCTTCCTTTTGTGGTATTGAACCTTGTGGTAAAATTTCATAGAGATCCATTCACTTAAACTAAAGTTAGAGTGCGAAAACCAATGTGTCTTCGGACGACGCCGGACGACGACGACGACGACGTAGATGCCAACGCCAACGTCATACCAATATACGACCACAAAAATTTTTTTGCGGTCGTATAAAAAATTGGTACTGATGAAAATAACTGAATGCACAGTATATCAGTATAAACAAGCATTCTGAGAGTATTGCATAGCAATACATAGTCCCCTACCTGTTGAGAATTCATTGTACTGGAACAAAATGCTAACTTGATCTATAACTTGTCATGGTGTAAAATATATATCAAATTATCAAATCAATATCTTCATGCATGACGAAAAAAAGTGTGGAAAACTGATTATTTGAGTGAATTTTCTAAGTCCAAGGACCATAACTCTGCACAAAATCAAACTTGATCTGTAACTTGTCATGATAAAACTATATACAAATTATTAAATCAAAACCTTCAAGCATGACAAAAAAAAGTGGAAAACTGATTATTTGAGTGAATTTTCTAAGTCCAAGGACCATAACTCTGCACAAAATCATCAGACCGGAACAAAATTCAAACTTGATCTGTAACTTGCCATGATGAAACTATATACCACATATCAAATCAATATATATCTTCAAGCACAAAGAAAAAAAGTGTGGAAAATTGATTTGCCAGACTGACAGACAGACAGACTTCGTCGGTAGGGGACTAAAACTAGAGGCTCTCAAGAGCCTGTGTCGCTCACCTGTATTTACTGATGCTTTGGAAATCATGTAAAATAAGGTTAAAATCATAATTAATAGTATTAGATATTAGATATTATATTGATATCTAAGATAATAACAAAAACTGCAAAATTTCTGTAAAATTACTAACTCAGGGCAGCAACCCAACAACGGGTTGTCGGATTCCTCTGAAAATTTCACAGCAGATAAATCTCAATCTGATGAACATTTTTGTCACCTGTCAGATTTGCTCTAAATGCTTTAGTTTCAGAGATATAAACCAAAAACTCCATTTTACCCTTATGTTCTATTTTTAACCAAGTCGGCCATGATGGTTGGTAGGCGGGGTCATCGGACAAATTTTTTAAACTAGATACCCTAATAATGATTATGGCCACGTATGGTTAAATTTGTCTCAGTAGTTGTAGAGAAGAAGATTTTTGTAAAAGATAACAAAAATTTACGAAAAATTGTTAAAAATTGACTATAAAGGGCAATAACTCCTAAAGGGGTCGACTGACTTATTTGTAGATCTTACTTTGCTGAACATTATTGCTGTTTACACTTTATCTCTATCTATAATAATATTCAAGATAATAACCCAAAACTGCAAAATTTCCTTAAAATTACAAATTCAGGGGCAGCAACCGAACAAAAGGTTGTCAGATTTGTCTGAAAATTTCATGGCAGATAGATCTTGGCCTGATAATCAGTTTTATCCTCTGTCAGATTTACCCTAAATGCTTTGGTTTCAGAGATATAAGCCAAAATCTACATTTTACCCCTATGTTCTATTTTTAGCCATGGCGGCCATCATGGTAGGTTGGCGGGGTCATCGGACACATTTTTTAAACTAGATACCCTAATGATGATTGTGGCCAAGTTTGGTTAAATTTGGCCCAGTGGTTTCAGAGGAGAAAATTTTTGTAAATAGCTAACGACGACAACGACGACGGACGCCAGGTCTTCAGTATGTGTTTGTTTATTCCACATTGGCTAGAGGTATTGGGGAAGGTTGAGATCTCACATAACATGTTTAACCCCCTGCATTTTACACCTGTCCCAAGTCAGGAACCTCTAGCCTCTGTAAGTCTTAAGTGTTTTTTTTAACTTTGCGTCACTTGTATGTTTCAGAGTTAAGTGTGGCTTCCATTTTGCTGAATTGGTTTACATTATTGTTTATGGGCAAGCGGAAGACTGCCTCCGGGTGTGGGATTTTCTCATTGCCCTAAAGACCCATTGGTGGCCTTGGGAAGTGTTTTCTGCTCTTTGGTTGGTTGTTGGTTCTTTGACACATTCCCCATTTCCATTCTCTTTTCTATTCAGTGTTTGTTAAATAAAAATAATATATACTTACACTATTAGTTTCTTGTGTAATTCTGTCTAGCTCATAAAGAAAATTTGTTGATGACAAGGGTTGCTGAAAAACATCAATAAAAAATAGTTGAAATTCTTTGCAAACAATGTATCAGAACTGTTCTATAAAAGTTTGGTTTGTTTGTTTTGACAAGTTTGTTCAAGTTTTACTGTTAAGGGTGTTCGCCCCTCTGTTTCAAAATAACAAGCTTTTTAAAAGCAGATAAAAATGAAGGGTCCGTGTGCTTGTTTTTGAGATATAAGCCATTGAAAATTTAGCAGGAAATGATTCTCTCTAGATTTTCCATACCATTAACATTGGCACCTTTTTTCTTTCAAAAAGTATGAGAAAATAACAAGGATTTTACAAGATTTTCAAATATGGCTTTTTAAACTATATGTTATGAAATTATGAAAAGAAAAGTAGGGCTTAGTGGGCAAATTTTATAATGGCAATACATGGATAAAACCAGAGGATTCGGAATATCTGACAAAAATTCAAAAACAAGAGGAGCGAACATCCTTAAAAGTAACACTTGCAGACAGTCATGGGAATTGATTGGACATATGGTATAACCAATAATATGTCAAGTTAATATTGCAAAGCATGAGAAAACTCAAATCCAAACTTGTTGAACAGTGAGAGGGTATAAAAACAGCATATCAATATGATATAATAAAACACACTTAAGGTTACAGTAAATGGGTCACAGTCACAGATTTTGATAATATTTTGCATACAACTTTTAAAGCTCATTGAACAATAATTGAAAATTGAAAAAAATTATGCATTTAACTTAATTTTCTGAAATATAAGTGTGAATTCTTTAAAATAGGTGAACATTTGTATAGAAAGCACATAAAATCAGCAAACAAATTCTTAAATTTGTCTTCAAATAAAATAAACTGTTAACATGTAAGTTATGCAAATATTCAAGTCGATGAACCATGACTAAAGGTACAGGGCTAACAATCTCCATGGAAATAAGATGTGCCAATGCTAATACAACTGCATACCAAATATCATTGATCTACCATTGACTTACCACTAGTGGTTCCCCATAAACTGACCTAATCACAAACTAATACATGAAAACTAAGCAAAATTTTCAAAGTCTGTAAATTCAGAAATTATTGTGTGCATTTATTATTGCGATTTTGTCATTTTAGACTAAAATGCGATTTAAATTTTTGCGATATTGAGAAAAATCATGTTTAATTCATATAAAAAATTTCAAAATGCGAGTTTGAATTATTGCGATTATAACCCTGTCTCATTTTTCGCAATAATAAAAACATCGCAATAATTTCTGAATTTACAGTAACCATGACTGAAGGGGCGGGGCCAAATAATCTCCATGGTAATGAGATGTGCCAATGCTAATACAACTGCATACCAAATATCATTGATCTACCATAAACTACTGCTGATTAAATGTGAGCAGTTTAAAGAAAATTACGTGTCTCAAAGTTTTGTATATGCAAGTAAAAAAGAAAATATTATTCATCATTCGTTATGCTTAATAAGTCTACGGCATTTTCTTTTTACGATTTGTTGGCATTACTTTAGGATAATAATACATTTCGGCTACAACAGGAATACTTCCACAGCTGCATTAACTCGTCGTTGCATAATATTTATTTAGGCACAATGAATGTAAACTTGTGTGTTGTATTTTGGACAGTGATCTTAAAAGATTTTAAAAGAAATTAATTTACCGTGGGAAGACAATTCCACGATACACATCTCAGTGATCAACAGTGTGTGGTTGAACTTGAACTTGACTTCGCTCACAATATTAAATGCTAAAAATAGCTGACATCAATTTTATCCACAGCACGAGATTTTCATATGGCGGGAAATAATATCACGTATCAGTAAACTCAGGTGACCTCTCTGAACGACCGTGGGGAAATTCACTCAGGTTTTTAAAGTTGCTTTGTATTAATGATTGACATTTTTGTGCGTTAGTATTGAGGCTCTAGATGGTCCTTTAACAATTGATTAACCGGAATCTAAAATATAATCCTTTTCCGAATAAACTAACACACATCTTCTTTAAATATTTTATTTTTTATGTTTTATCAGTCAAAACAGGACGTAGACCTGAACATTAGTTATACGTCCATGGTCAACAATATAAATTTATTGTAGATGAAAACACGATCCATGTCGTTAAGTTGGGCGTTGGTAGAATTCTGTGAAAATGTGCAGATCGTTAAAATCCTGTCCACTTATTTTTTCACATATTTTTTTCTTGTAGCATCGATCTGGGTACACGATTTAATTTCATTTTAATATTTTTCGTATATATATTTGATTTTTTTCTATAGTAATTGTTGAAATAATTCATTTTTTTCATTTCGCCAAGGACTTTGAACGAGCAGCAAAATACTGATTGCGCTCATCCAATTTTATTTTAAATAATTAAAGATCAATAACAGAGATAAACGCATGATTTTTTTCCATATAATTAATTAAGTTGAGAATGTTGTGTTGTGCCTGGGCGGGGAATTTCTCTCAGTGTTTTGTTTTTATGAATAAAGGACATGCATACAAAACTTATTCCCTTTGTTCAACAGAGTTGTCACTTTACAGTTTCTTTTCGGAATTCAAATAATTGAAGTTGGTCATGTACCGAGGTAGTGAAACATAACATTTTACATTGCAAAATAAATATGCACCGGAAATTGCTTACTGAGTAAGTCATAAAAGATTCTAATTGTGGTAAAATCGTCTTTGTTGAAAGAACACAAAGTATGACCTGATCGGACTATAATAGAAAAACAAAATAAGTTTTTTCTTCGTAGTTTTATTCGTTTGTACGTTTTATTTCAAATGACAATGACACGGGGTAAAAACATATAAGAATAATTATCTTATGCTGAATGATAATGTCACATCTTTATCTGTCAAAGAAAGGAAATCATTTGTTAAAATTTTAATACCGTGTTTTTAAAGCACACAGGTGCAATCAAGATCGATTAAATGTACATAGGTAAATAATCTGGCTAATCCGATTATGTTGTCACGCTTCGTTAATTTTTAGGACATCCGATGGGCAATAAACCAATTAACAGCCACGCGGTGTTGGGAGAAAATCTTTGGAGGAAATTGGGAGTATAATTCGCGGTACTCGGTGTGACTCCGAAAAACACGGAAATCGGAAAAAAAAGATCCCGAATCGATCCGTTTAAATAGTACTGTAATTGAAATATGTAAAATTGTTGATAATTTGAGAGTTTTATATAAACTTTGTAATATTCAAATACCAGTTAGTATTAACCACCTCACTAAACAATTTAAATGATAGAGCAGTAATATGCAAAATACACATACATGTAAGTGCACATTCTTTGATGATTGAAAGGGGAAGACATGTTAACATTCCTAGAGAGGAAAGATACTGTCCCGTCTGTAAAAATGGGGAAATTTAAGATGAACAACATTTCTTATTACAATGTAATAGATTTACCCTGTGAGTGAAACCAATACATGTACAGGGAAAATTGTCACTAACTCTTTAAAAACAATATTTTGAGCTTATTCTGCTCTTTAATTTTCTTGATAGTTTTTTTTCTCAGAAACACCAATTTTGTTTTTGTTTGTTTGTTTGTTTTTTTTTAATTTAACTTTGCTTATTCATCTTTTAAATTTTCGATGTCTGTACTGCTGTAAATTATATATTGGATAAAACAATTATTTTTTAAAAGTATTACATTTTGAGTAGCCATATTCGGAGGAGGTGGTTTTCTGTTAAATAAAGCATCTTCTATCTGCTGAAATGGTAATGTATCATCAGCCTGAATTACAAATAAAGGACTATCCCATCGTTGGTTTGGATTAGGTTCCTCAAATCTCATAAATAAAGCCTCTAATCTAAAAATAGACAAATAAACAATTATTGAATTATTTATCATTTACTAGTTTCATGAATCTGAATCAAAGTAAACCTGTCATGGACTCCCAAAGGCTATGACACTGAAAAGTTAATGTCTGATGAATAAACCTGCAAATCTTAAAGAGGGAATAAGATTTGGTCATTCACCAGAAATGTGATGCAGAAAAAAAAGGAGAACAAGAAAGCAATAGATTACAACCTAAAACTCACAAACAAACAAAAAATGGAATATTCAATTCATAAACCAAGATAGGGCTTATTGATAGAAGACATACAAAAGTGGCAGTACATAACAGGAGAATATGTATTTCTAATAAAATTGAGAATGGAAATGGGGAATATGTCAGAGAGACAACAACCCGACCAAAGAGCAGAAAACAGCCCAAGGCCACCAATGGGCATGCATATTGTAATGTCCATGTTAAGGGCCAATTTAAAATGTCATCATAGCTCGTAGTAGTGTCATATTTTGTAATCATTCCCTACTTTATAACCATTGTGATGAGCAATTTTTTTTTTCATAAGGAGATTTTCATTGTTCTTCAACATATATTAAGGAATCTTACAATATTTTTGCTGATTGTTACACTTTTAGGAAAGATACCTTTTTTTTAATTTTGGGGTTGAAATTGTAACAAAAATTACTTAACTATCCTCTGCACTTTAGCCTTAAAAGCTTCCCCCACTTTTAAAAAGTTTGAATTTTTTTAAATAATTGTCACTGATAATGTAAGCAGAATATATATTTTTTTATACAACTTTATTGACTCAGTGATCATAAAAGTTTTCATAATTTCCATCTCATTTTGTCAAGAGTTCTCTCCCATTGATTAATGGTCAACTTCATGAATACAAAGTTGAAACTACTATTTGTAAAGTACCAGAGCAACTTATCTTTTGTCATAATTGTAAAATATTGTCCATGCATACATTTATCATACTTTGATATACAATGATATATGTAAGAATTAAAGGTATATTTTGCTTCGTGTTTTTTTCTCTATCTTACAGACAACATCATCTTGCTTATTTAGCATTGCTTTTGAAAATTTAGTAATGGAATCAAAATGCCTTCAACCTTGATAGAGAATTACAAATATTCACTTTTTATTGGTCTTATCTGAAGAAACAGTTGAGTAATCTATTAAAATACTGTAATGGATTTAAAAGATTAATTGATTGATGGTTTTGTAATGCCAGCTTAGCATGCCAATGATATGGCTATACAGTCAAACAGTCAAACAGACATAAATTACACAACATAATGTTTAAAAGTAGTTCCAAGAAAATGCAAAATGAATTGGGTAACCAGAAATTTTTTTTTTTTTGGCCCAACATCTTAATTTGTATTTTCTTTCCTATAAAAAGCAAGTTCAGCAAAAAATTATTGAGGTTCATGCCGAAATTGATAGTACAGTACACGAAAGAGATAAAAACCATTAAAGGTATGAACACAGCTGCCTTACATTTCATCCTTAGTAATCACTAAAATACCTGAACACTGCCTTACATTTCACCCTTAGTAATCACTAGAATACCTGAACACTGCCTTACATTTCATCCTTAGTAATCACTAAAATACCTGAACACTGCCTTACATTTCATCCTTAGTAATCACTGAAATACCTGAACACTGCCTTACATTTCATCCTTAGTAATCACTGAAATACCTGAACACTGCCTTACATTTCATCCTTAATCACTAAAATACCTGAACACTGCCTTACATTTCACCCTTAGTAATCATTAAAATACCTGAACACTGCCTTACATTTCATCCTTAGTAATCACTGAAATACCTGAACACTGCCTTACATTTCATCCTTAGTAATCACTGAAATACCTGAACACTGCCTTACATTTCATCCTTAATCACTGAAATACCTGAACACTGCCTTACATTTCACCCTTAGTAATCACTGAAATACCTGAACACTGCCTTACATTTCATCCTTAGTAATCACTGAAATACCTGAACACTGCCTTACATTTCACCCTTAGTAATCACTGAAATACCTGAACACTGCCTTACATTTCATCCTTAGTAATCACTGAAATACCTGAACACTGCCTTACATTTCATCCTTAGTAATCACTGAAATACCTGAACACTGCCTTACATTTCATCCTTAGTAATCACTGAAATACCTGAACACTGCCTTACATTTCACCCTTAGTAATCACTGAAATACCTGAACACTGCCTTACATTTCATCCTTAATCACTGAAATACCTGAACACTGCCTTACATTTCATCCTTAGTAATCACTGAAATACCTGAACACTGCCTTACATTTCATCCTTAGTAATCACTGAAATACCTGAACACTGCCTTACATTTCATCCTTAATCACTGAAATACCTGAACACTGCCTTACATTTCACCCTTAATCACTGAAATACCTGAACACTGCCTTACATTTCATCCTTAGTAATCACTGAAATACCTGAACACTGCCTTACATTTCATCCTTAGTAATCACTGAAATACCTGAACACTGCCTTACATTTCATCCTTAGTAATCACTGAAATACCTGAACACTGCCTTACATTTCACCCTTAGTAATCACTGAAATACCTGAACACTGCCTTACATTTCATCCTTAATCACTGAAATACCTGAACACTGCCTTACATTTCATCCTTAGTAATCACTGAAATACCTGAACACTGCCTTACATTTCATCCTTAGTAATCACTGAAATACCTGAACACTGCCTTACATTTCATCCTTAATCACTGAAATACCTGAACACTGCCTTACATTTCATCCTTAGTAATCACTGAAATATCTGAACACTGCCTTACATTTCACCCTTAGTAATCACTGAAATACCTGAACACTGCCTTACATTTCATCCTTAGTAATCACTAAAATACCTGAACACTGCCTTACATTTCATCCTTAGTAATCACTGAAATACCTGAACACTGCCTTACATTTCATCCTTAATCACTAAAATACCTGAACACTGCCTTACATTTCACCCTTAGTAATCATTAAAATACCTGAACACTGCCTTACATTTCATCCTTAGTAATCACTGAAATACCTGAACACTGCCTTACATTTCATCCTTAGTAATCACTGAAATACCTGAACACTGCCTTACATTTCATCCTTAATCACTGAAATACCTGAACACTGCCTTACATTTCACCCTTAGTAATCACTGAAATACCTAAACACTGCCTTACATTTCATCCTTAGTAATCACTGAAATACCTGAACACTGCCTTACATTTCATCCTTAGTAATCACTAAAATACCTGAACACTGCCTTACATTTCACCCTTAGTAATCACTGAAATACCTGAACACTGCCTTACATTTCATCCTTAGTAATCACTGAAATACCTGAACACTGCCTTACATTTCATCCTTAGTAATCACTGAAATACCTGAACACTGCCTTACATTTCATCCTTAGTAATCACTGAAATACCTGAACACTGCCTTACATTTCATCCTTAATCACTGAAATACCTGAACACTGCCTTACATTTCACCCTTAGTAATCACTGAAATACCTGAACACTGCCTTACATTTCATCCTTAGTAATCACTGAAATACCTGAACACTGCCTTACATTTCATCCTTAGTAATCACTGAAATACCTGAACACTGCCTTACATTTCATCCTTAGTAATCACTGAAATACCTGAACACTGCCTTACATTTCATCCTTAATCACTGAAATACCTGAACACTGCCTTACATTTCATCCTTAGTAATCACTGAAATACCTGAACACTGCCTTACATTTCATCCTTAATCACTGAAATACCTGAACACTGCCTTACATTTCACCCTTAATCACTGAAATACCTGAACACTGCCTTACATTTCATCCTTAGTAATCACTGAAATAACTGAACACTGCCTTACATTTCATCCTTAATCACTGAAATACCTGAACACTGCCTTACATTTCATCCTTAGTAATCACTGAAATACCTGAACACTGCCTTACATTTCATCCTTAATCACTGAAATACCTGAACACTGCCTTACATTTCATCCTTAGTAATCACTGAAATACCTGAACACTGCCTTACATTTCATCCTTAGTAATCACTGAAATACCTGAACACTGCCTTACATTTCATCCTTAGTAATCACTGAAATAACTGAACACTGCCTTACATTTCATCCTTAATCACTGAAATACCTGAACACTGCCTTACATTTCATCCTTAGTAATCACTGAAATACCTGAACACTGCCTTACATTTCACCCTTAGTAATCACTGAAATACCTGAACACTGCCTTACATTTCATCCTTAGTAATCACTGAAATACCTGAACACTGCCTTACATTTCATCCTTAGTAATCACTGAAATACCTGAACACTGCCTTACATTTCATCCTTAGTAATCACTGAAATACCTGAACACTGCCTTACATTTCATCCTTAGTAATCACTGAAATAACTGAACACTGCCTTACATTTCATCCTTAATCACTGAAATACCTGAACACTGCCTTACATTTCATCAGAGTATTTGTCCTCCTCTGGTCTTATACTGTTCCATTCTTTAGCCTTGTCTTTACTTATATCACTAAACAACTAAAAATCAAGGAATATGACATTTTAATGGATGTGGACACACAAAAATGACTTATCTCAAATCACCAAAAAAAAATAGAAATAAAAGAATATCACATTTTTGTGTAGAGACACAAAAAAATGGCTTATCTCAAATCAACTGAAAATAAGAAATAAGACAGTTTCATAAGTATTTCTCGTTTCTCGTTCTTTATATAGATTAGACCGTTGGTTTTCCTGTTTGAATTGCTTTACACTAGTAATTTTGGGGCCCTTAACTTATAGATTGCTGTTCGGTGTGAGCCAAGGCTCTGTGTTGAAGGCAGTACTTTGACCTATAATTGTTAACTTTTTTTACATTGTGACTTGGATGGAGAGTTGTCTCATTGGCACTCATACCACATCTTCTTATTTATATTATAGAAGTGCTTGTGAGCTTTGAAAAGTAAAGATTGCTTCCATTTATGCAACATGACTTTAAACTAAGCAATGGATTGCAAAGGATTACATTTATGTCTACAAGGGCCTTGGTGGCCAAGTTGTCTAAGTAGTTAACTTAATTTTTTTTAATAACAGAGCAATATTTTGATCTTTTGACAAATAAATTGGTGTACAACTTAATTCTTAATAATATAAAAATCAATTTTATACAATAGTTGTTTCTTTCTTAAATATTCATAACAAAATACACCTTCTGAATATTTAGTTTTGTGTACTGTAACAGCACACTGACTACACTCCATATCGACTGTATGTAAATAAAATAATTTCAAATACATGTAAACATTGGAGGGTTGAGATCTCATAAACATGTTTAACCCCGCCGCATTTTTGCGCCTGTCCCAAGTCAGGAGCCTCTAGCCTTTGTCAGTCTTGTATTATTTTTAATTTTAGTTTCTTGTGTACAATTTGGAGTTTAGTATGGCGTTCATTATCACTGAACTAGTATATATATTTGTTTAGGGGCCAGCTGAAGGACGCCTCCGGGTGCGGGAATTTCTCGCTGCATTGAAGACCTGTTGGTGACCTTCTGCTGTTGTCTGTTCTATGGTCGGGTTGTTGTCTCTTTGACACATTCCCCATTTCCATTCTCAATTTTATTGTTTTTTATCAATGGGAACGCAGAAGAGTTAAGTTTACATGCTGAGGACACCAGCTCAACGCTCAGTTTAGCTCAATGAGATCACAGCCTAAGACTACAGATGACATTTGATGACAATGTTTCAATACACTTTTTGTCCGCCATTACTGACCATCACAGAGGTTCAGGTAACATTTTGATGTCATAAGAGAAAATGTCTGACGCAAAAATACAAAAGTGGTTGTTGTATGACGTCTATAGTTCAAGTGTCATAAAATCTAGGGTCAAGTGTCACAGAATGAAATGATCTATCTACATCCACTTTATTTTAACTTTGGTGGAAAGTTGTCTCATTGGCAATCATACCACATCTCCTTATTTTTATATAGTATACTTATATTTTATTCCTGACTCACTCTTTATGTGTCTGTCCTAAGTCAGGAGCCTGTAGTTCAGTGGTTGTCATTGGTTCATGTCTGTCATGTTTGTGTTTCGTAAATTGTTTTGTTATTAATTAGGCTGTTAGTTTTCTCCATTGAATTTTTTCTGTCTGAGCTTTTATAGCAGACTATACGGTATGGGTTTTTCTCATTGTTGAAGACTGTACAATTGTCTATAATTGCTTACATCCACTTCAATTGAACTCATGGTGGATATTTGTCTCATTGGCAATAATACCACATCTCCTTACTTTTATAGTATACTGTTTGTACTTACAACACAATGTGGAGTTTTACATGACTTTGTTATACAGTATAATTCATATCGGTATCCTAAAAATAAAATAAAATGCTTGTATATATCAATGAGACAGTATCTTATAAACAAATTAAAGCCAGCAAAGCAGATTTTCTTAAGTTTCTAATTCTTATTTTTTACATTTCCAATTTCTCATTCTCATAAGGCCAAAAAAAATATATGTCTGTTTAAGGTTACATACTTTAAAAAAAATAGGGTAGGTAGGTCGGTATTACCATTTTTTTAAATTTTTTGTGACATGATTTTGAGTCACGCCGTTTCGTCTTGTCGTGGTCCGAGTTAATCATGGGCCAAGTTTACCCGTATTTTTTATGATTGGATTATTTCCCTTGGTAATTGGTTGGAAAAAAATGGCGGCAAATTGTTTATTTCATCACATGAGTTGCGAATTTCCTTAAGACAGCTGTCATATTCACGATTGTGAACATTGGGATGTATCAGGCAATTGATTTATATTATTTGCAACACTAACTTCGCTTTTGACACGAGTTCAGTGCATTTTTCACTTTAAGACGGAAATAAAATGACTTAGGGTCGGCGCTCAAAAGGTGGGTCGGTCATGTCGGTCAGGTAACCGTAAACAGACATATTTTTTTTGGCCTAAAAAAAAAATTGAATTTAAAAGAAATTAACATCTATTTATAGTTATCAAACATTAAAATTTAAAAGTTGAATTCTTTAAGGCAACAATATTAACACTACTTACCTTTAATATAATTCAGAGAATCCAAGATAATAATGTCATCTGTATTAAGTAACCTGATCAAAAAGAAAAAAGTCAAAATTTAGTTATTAAGATGAAATGCATCAAACCTACATGTATGTAATATGTGTTTGAATGCTATTGTTAAGGAATACCATTACTTATTCGAATGCAATTCCATCTCAGTAAAAAATATCAGACATCAACACATTCCTCAGTATTATGTTAAATATCCCAGCGCAGCAAAAATGAAAGGATTACTATCGTTGGGTAATATAAAGGTACTGAAAAATGTATCTTTATTTGTTTCAAATTTAATTAAAGTATTATAAAGTATAGTAATTATTAATATATTCCATTTTAGAGTTTTATTTCTTTTCATGATTGTATGTGATTGTATTTTGTATATGTTTACCTTTTGTTTCACATGTGAATGCGACATGTTTACCTCTTGTTTCACACGTGAATGTGACATGTTTACCTCTTGTTTCACATGTGAATGTGACATGTTTACCTCTTGTTTCACACGTGAATGTGACATGTTTACCTCTTGTTTCACACGCGAATGTGACATGTTTACCTCTTGTTTCACACGTGAATGTGACATGTTTACCTCTTGTTTCACATGTGAATGTGACGTTTACCTCTTGTTTCACACGTGAATGTGACATGTTTACCTCTTGTTTCACATGTGAATGTGACGTGTTTACCTCTTGTTTCACACGTGAATGTGACATGTTTACCTCTTGTTTCACACGTGAATGTGACATGTTTACCTCTTGTTTCACATGTGAATGTGACAGTGTTTTTAAATAAAGCATATTGTATATTGTATTATAACAGTGATTTTTTCATCAAACTTCATAATAAAAAGTCAACATACAATTTTAGCCTTATTATAACATCAAAAATTTGTAAGGGGTTCTGAAGAGCTCAGTGTCTCGCCTGAAATTACTGCTGTAAAAGTGTAATGTTGACTGAAACATTGAGTCCATTTATAAGTAAAGTACACAATTTAAAAAAAATATCCGAACATTTTCTTTAGATGCTATTTCATGGTCTTGAAAATTAGCTTTTGTCCAAGTTTCATAACAATCCATGAGGGTTTACAAATTTATCATGTCAAAAAAATTTAATCCCATACTGTCTGTAAATGTTAACTGTAAAAAACTAAGTCCATCTATCAGAAGAATACTGAAAATGAAAAAAAAATATTTCAAAAGTTTGCTCTCAGACATAATCTCTTAATCATAAAAGGCTTCTGCCAAACTTTCATAAAATTCTATGAAGTTTGACAAAGTAATTGATGTGTAACAAACTTTAACCCAAGACTGTATCTACTTGTTAAATGTAAAAAAACTAAGTCCATTTATCAGTTAAATACCATGAATACGGATAAAATAAAAATAGATATTTTCAAAATTTTGTTCTGGATATTGTATTTTGGTCATAAACAAGCTTCTGTCCAATTTTTCTAAAATAGTTGATAATACTAGTGTATAATAAATTGACTGACAAAAGATCACACATCATACAATGGAACTTTACTCATTAACAAAAGACAAGTGACACCTCCATTAATTCTTTAAAGTTAAAATTTCTATTGCATACAACGCTTCTGAAGTTACCAAATTCTGGAAATATGAAAAAAAAATCTAATTGAATAAAGCACGTTTTGAACATAAAAAATGAATGTTGCCAAATTTGTAAAAACAAAAGTCGTGTGAATCTGTTCACCTGAAAACAACGAAAATTAATAATTAGATTTTCTATTTCTTTATCAAACTCATGTTTAATGACCAATTTGAAATTGACATATCACTAACTTTTGAAACTTTTATATATGGTGAGATGTGGTGCACTAGTTGTGTTGTTAAGTATATATACTGGTACATAATTTGTTACGTATTTGAAAAAATTCGTAAGGGTTCCGCGGAACCCAGTGTCTCGCCTACTTTTGCTGTTAATCGCAGGCTCAACAAAAATGAGGAAAAAAATAAATAAAAATATTCCTCTCTATACTATCTTTTGATTGTAAGTAGCTTCCGTCCAAGTTTGGTAAAAATCCAGGATAGTTTATGAATCTAATAAATGTTTTAAAAACTTAAACTGCAGACTGTATGTAATGTAAACTGGAAGAAAAACTAAAATTTACTTCTAGATACTAGCTTTTAATCATAAACAAGCTTCTGTCCAACTTTGGTACAAATCCAGGATAGTTTAAGAAAGTTGTTAAAATTTTTAAAACTTTAACCACCGAGTGAATGTAATGTTAACTGGCAGAAAAACTAAGTCCATTTATAAGTAAAATAAGGAAAAAATGGATTTTTTTTTTTACAAAATTTACTTCTGGATACTATCTTATGATCATAAACAAGCTTCTTCCCAAGTTTGGTAGAAATCCAGGATAGTTTAAGAAAGATATTAAAATTTCAAAAACTTTAACCACAGAGTGAATGTAATGCTTCTTGGCAGAAAAACTAAGTCCATTTATAAGTAAAATACGGAAAAAATGGAATTTTTTTATTGCAAAATTTACTTTTGAATATTATCTTATGATCATAAACAAGCTTCTGTCCAAGTTTGGTAGAAATCCAGGATAGTTTAAGAAAGTATTTTAATTTTATTTTAAGAAAGTTATTAAAATTTCAAAAACTTTAACCACAGAGTGAATATTTGTGGACACCGCCGACGACGGCGCCGACGGAATATAGGATCGCTATGTCTCGCTTTTTCGACAAAAGTCAAAGGCTCAAAAAAAATGATCATTCATGCACCATCTTCTTTCTTGATCCCTTCCCAAGGTTTAATACCTAATAAATTTTTTACTCTGATCCTATCTAAAATGAATTTCTCAGGGTAATTATAGCAGTATTTGGTTTACACCCACCCTGACATGCCTGAGGCTTTAAATTTCAGAACAAGATACTATTTGAAAATTTCTTCTGCTAGGATGGCGTGATGATGCTACATGTCTTTAAAATATCTAAAAGTGATAGTTGAATGACGTTAATAGGTCAAGTGTCATAGAATCCAGAATAAGTAATAAGGTATATAAAAGTTTACCTTTGTACAGATGATTTTAAAGTTCCTCTTATTTCCTTCTCCTTTTTAGAGTCTGAAACATAATAAAATGTATTGTAAACTAGAATTATCAGTGGACTAATACCTGTACATGAATTTTAATTGTTGCTGTGAAATTCAGTTTTGAGACAATTATATTTCAAGATTTTTTGCTGTCAGCCATTCATTTTATCATCATGAATCATTAGCCTAAACAGTTTTGTACAATTATGAGCCATGGTTCTAGTAGCTTTGCTTGGTATAAATTAACATGTCAGATCGTAAAGATATTTCACACTAATGCTTTTGTTCAGCTAGAAAGCCATGCATATAATTTTGGTCATGCAAGTCTTGACAATTTCACAACACATACATGTACTTAAGTTAAAGAATCAGGGATACAGTATGAAAGTTTATAACTGTAGTTCTTATTACAAAAAGAATATCAACTAGTAACCTAAATTACATATCTTTATTTCTTAATCATGCATATCTTTTAAAAGCACAGAGATATTGTATATACAAATATATTTGTGCCAACAGACATTAAGATTATTATAGTTGTGGCTATATCTTGTTGTTGGCATCTGATAAGAAGGTTCTCGTTTGAAATTATTTGTGGCCAAAAGATTCGCAGAATCCTTCTGAGACTTTTGGTATGGAATACAGACAGCTTGTTTTGGCCGTGGTCTGTCATCCTCCAACATTCTGAACCATACAAAAGTACAGGCAAGACACAGCTGCTGTAAAGTTTGAGTTTGGTCCGGATGGTATATATATTGACCAGATCTCCATACAGCCTGCAGGTTGTTAAGAGCTGACCTTGCCTTTGATAGTCATCTATAATGAGAAGATGCTGGAGGTGGATTGGACATGTCCTTCGGAAAGACCAGGAGGATATCACAAAGACAGCACTCCTCTGGACCCCAGAAGGTAAAAGTAAGAGAGGAAGACCCAAAATGAAATGGAGGAGAACTGTAGAGGCAGAGGCTAGTAAACATCAACAGACATGGGGCACACTACAGAAAACTACCAAAGACCGACAAAAGTGGAAAATCTTCGTTACTGCCCTTCACGCCAATGGCGTACAAGGGCAGTAAGTAAGTAAGTAAGACATTAAGATTGAGGATTAGCAGTAAATATGAAACAATACTGACACATTCTAGAGTATCAGTTCCAATATGAAACATGTCAGTCATTGGCCTTCCAGTTTTGTTAAAAATGATAACCTTTGTCTTTTTTACATTAACTTCTATACACTATTCAGTACAATAGTTATAAATTCAGTACGTTGATCAGTTGATGTTTTTTTGTAACTGAAGCACAGGCACTTGTTTCTATCCATGGGAATTCCGAAGGTCAACTATCCATATGTAATAGATTACATATGGATAGCGCTTGACCTTCCCATGGATAGAAACAAGTGCCTATTAAAATAAGGTTCATGTGGACCCTTTGGCTAAAATGGCTGTGTTTTCACCTCAAAATTTACTCAGTACAGAAAAACCTGTGCATCTGAAAAAATAAATAAAAATCAAATGCATTTTATGTTTTAGAAAATTTAAAACTTAACTGGATTTTGCAGTGCACTTTTTTTCGTCCCTGCAGAAGGTGATAAAATTAATAAACAGTTGTGTTTCACTTGATATGGTCCACTCAGGTACACAGTTTAAATCACCAATTATTGTCAGGTATCATTTGTCCTTCTATTGTCCATGACAATCAATACAGTTCACTTCAATCATTACCTGTGGGGAGGTTCTCAAACCTCTTTAACAACTTAGTTTATTTTGGCATCTTCTGGAGGAATGAAAAAAAGTGCAGATCTCCTGTAGTTGGTGATCGCAATACTGGTATACCAGTATTGTGCACAATACTGGTAGAAAAATTTTGTACCAGTATTGTATTCCAGTATTGTGCTTTTTTTAAATAAACAATACATATAGGTAATTAATCTTTAAATTTATTAAAGGTGTCACATATATATGCATATTGAAATTTTATAAGGAATGATTGGACATATAGATTGTATGTTTAAATGATGGTACACTTAGTGACTTTTTCATGAGTCATGAACCTTAACTGAAGTGAAGAAGAAATTGGAGACGAGTAAATGTAAAATAGGCTTTTTTAACCTGCATAGACTGAATTTCTGTCAACACCAATATCATGGTCACTTATAACATGAACAGTTTTGTCTTTATAATGTTTCTTGAGTTGCTCTGCTCGGGTAGATTTACCACTCGAAGGAAAGCCACAAATCAAAACAAACGGCATGTTGTTACCGGAAGCGTATATAAACTGAAACCTAGACCGGACCCGACTTCAGGACCCGGACTTAATATGAAAATATTGGTAGAACCGTCTCAGAGAAGAAGGAATAAATTTAATCTATGTAAAACCTTTTCCGTCATTTATGAGGCACACAAAAACTAAACGTTATGTTTGTTCTAAAAGAAATGAGTAAAACGAAATAAGGAATAGTGAATAATTGGATGCAAAAGAATCAAGATTAGAATAACTGTGAAAAAATAAAGAATTAGGTAATCATGGTAATATAAAATACTGACTACAGAATAAAGAAATCATGTAAAAACAAATAAATCTAATAGTAAAATTATTTTCATTGGAATTTTACAGAATAAGCGTTATTTTTAAAGATAAAGAAAAATATCCCCAAAAATGAAGGAATACATAAATGAAGAACCCCCCCCCCCCCCCCCCCGGGCCCCCCATCCAGACTCACATTAAAGAATAAAGAAAAAAATAAAATGACAAAAATACCGAACTCTAAGGAGAATTTAAAACGGAAAGTCCCTTATCAAATGACAAAATCAAAAGCTCAAACACATCAAACGAATGGAAAACAACTGTCATATTCCTGACTTGGCACAGGCATTTCCTTATGAAGAAAATGGTGGAAATTAAGGGACCATAACCCAAACCCACATTTATAAATTTGATCAAGTCAATATATGGCGGTGGTTACGATATGTCAGCTGTAGATTTGACGGTAAATAGTAACCAGTCAAATAATCAGTGGTAAAAATAGGAAAATGTCTGGGCTTAGAATTATAAGGATTATAAACGCATTTTTTCTAGGGGTTTGGAGCTAGGGGTTATTGATGTTTAAACTTGGTCACTCACTCACAAACTTTGATTTAAAATCTATCCACCAGATCCAGAAGAATACCTAGACCAATTGAGGACTAATCCAGGGGAAACAAATATGTCGTTAAGGCGCAATTCTGAGTCCTACTGTTTTTCTACTTGATGTTTAGTCTGTCTATTGAAAAATGTCAAAGAAACAAACAGGAAAACTATACAGTCTTCAACACACTAGACATTTGAAAAATATCAAATAAATGAGGGTTGAATCAAAAACGATAGAATTTTTGTATACTTTGCCAAAATGTAGTTTATATCATGTTATCTTAAACATGTTAAAGGTGAATTGGTTACGAATAAGACAACAACAAACATATATGATGTTTGTTTTTGTTTCAAACATTTACAAAAGCGGAATATTACACTATTAGTAGTCAGAACTCTATGTATTGATCAGTCAATTTGGTTCAATTTCGTCTATATAATCTAGAAAACATCGCAGATGTATTATTGGCTTGCAAGTCAATAATTCAACTCATTTGAATCCGTATTCATGCAACCTTTGAGGGGACGACCATTTGATATTCTGTAGGGTTGAGGATTGACTATTCATTAACATCTGTTGCTACGCAGGCTTATGTTTTGTACACAATTGTTTCCTGCATTTTGTGTTGCAGAATATTCATGTTCATCCTGTCTTATACAAGTTTAGTTATTTACAGCTATTATCAGGCAAGGATGTTCAACTACAAAATACTCCTGCCCTCCTTCCGAAACCCCCTTTTTTGACGATCAATGCTTTTGAATGGGGACATATGGTTGGAACCCCCCTTTATCATGGGTTGGGAATCCCCCCTTTTAAAATGGCTGGATCCGCCCCTGATCCCCTTCGAAATACTAATACACAGTACAATTTACGACACCGAAGAGAAATTACAACCCCTGTGTCATACTTCATGTTATAAAAACAGTTATGTTACATATATCCTGAATAAATGGAATTTATTTTTACATTTTATATATCTTTATTCTCGTAAACCAAAGTACAATGATATAGAGACATATACAAGTACTGATAAATTAGCATGCTTTGTATAAAATAAATACAAATGTAAAGTAGAGACATACATTGGTTACCAAGGAGATTCTATGCATTCAATAATTATTTGTATAAATTTACACAACTTGCTTACTTCACAAGGGTTGTTGCTATATTCATAAGATCGATCTTGAAATTTAAAGATATTTGGTCTGTTTACGAAAGAGAGGCGAAAGATACCGAAGGGACACTCAAACTCATAAGTCGAAAAATTAAACTGACTTCGCCATGGCTAAAAAAGAAAAAGACAAACAGACAAAAGCAGATCCTGTTCCACATGCGACACCCGTCGTGTTGCTCTCATAAAATACGTAAGTCGTTGATAAGTTATATCAAGTGATTACACATCACGCAATAGCGGGTTGGCAATAGACTCTTATATAACCCTGAGACATCACCAAATTCTAATCCATCGGCATGTAAAATTGTCTAACCTTGAAACTTGACCGAATGTGAAATTTTGAAATTGAAACGTTTTTAATACAAAGGGAAACGAGACTGCAAAATGTTGCTTTTAAGGCGTCTGTCTTCTTTCGAACATTGTCGAACATTCCAAAATATAATGACACTCGTCTCCAATATCACCTGAATATCATAAAGAACAAATACGGTTTTCCATCTGAACATTTTGCCATCTACCAAGTTCAATATGAATTTTGTGTTCAAAGTTCTAAACTTACAAAAAGGCAATATTTTTGTTATTTAAAATATTGAAGTAGGTTTCAAAACCTATACTTTTTTGGAATTATCTATAATTCAGAGTTTTTGAACTGTTCTGTAGCGTAGCATATACCAAGGCTGTCTTAAAGTGGTCAGGTAATCTAGCTTGATTTAACAGAACTATATGTAACCAGTTATTACAAGTAAAATATTTAGTGTTCCATTTATTTGATAGGCCACAAAAATAAAAAGGCAGGACAGAGATTACAACTAAAAAAAAATGCAGGACAACATTTTCCATCCTAGCCTCCCCATAAAAATCAAATGGTAGCTCCCTTACGAACTGTAATCTCTGTCCTGCCTTTTTATTTTTCACTCTATTCGGTCCTGCCTTTTTTTTTAAAGTTTATCCTGACTTTTTTTTACCTAAATTGTCATCCTGACTTTTTTTTTTGCAAGTGTCTCATCCTGCCTTTTTTTTCTCAAAACTTCTGTCCTGCCTATTTTTTTCAAATTTCATCCTAGCCCCCCCCCCCCCCCCCCCCAATAAAAATCAAATGGTAGCTCCCTAATTTGATAAAAGTATCCAGTGGGTATCGACCAAGTTCCACATTTATCATGACGTCATGTGGGGATTTGTTTAGACCAAGCAATAGTGTACAAGATCATGATGAAAACGTTCTATAACAGAAGTGTTACCCATTCTCTAGACTTCACATCCGTACACTAAAAAAAAAAGATGAAAAAACTAAAAGTTACACCATATCTAAAACAACTATTCCAGAAATTCGATGTTTGAGTGTTTTACACCATAATTCGTGTTATAAATCACCAAGGTGTGATTTCACACCAAATCGAGCTCAACACTTGAAAGTATTTGTTTTGTTCAACTCGAATTAGTGTAACCTCCGTGTAAGATGTGTATACACACTGTAAATCTAAGTGTTAATAAATAGAACACTGCTTGAACGCTTTTTTGTAACACTTTTTGAACGTGTAATGGATTTCCAAATGTTTACACTAGTGTTCATCAATTGAATGTGTGGTGTTCAGATTTAATGCCTTTGTGTTTCATTTTTGAACACTTGATGTTAGAGTTCTTAACACTTAGTGTTCAACGATTTAACGTGTCCGGATGTTCAAAATCTTAATACGTCGACGCGTTCAACAGCCATGTAACACTTTTTGAACACATAGAACATGTTTAAAGCCAAAGTGTTAAGATTCAGAACACCAGACGTTAACTTTCAGAACAGTTGACATAAGTGTTCAAAGTGATGGTGTTCAAATGTGGAACATGTTCTATTTTCAAGCGTACATAATTTTCCACAAGTACCCAACTTAAATAAACTGTTATAAAAACTATATTCAATCAGGCAAAATATAACAATAAAACATATTTTAACAAGTAATTCTTTATGTAATCAAATGAGCATATTATGTGTAAGAAAAGTACACCAGATACCTTATGATATCACAAGTAACAGTCAGTGAAATCACATACATAATGTTTTTTAACTGACTTAATATATATCACAAATAATGATTTTCCCCTACATGACTAGATAGTTGCAACATCATTTGTATCCTTACCAAAAAAGCATGTCAATGTGATAATTAGATAGTTTATGATATAGGTATTTGTCACAATGAAAGTTTAAAAGTTTGCAAATTCCAACAGTTCTTGTACGATCACATACAATGTACGCTCCACTTTTCAGTGCATCTTCACTTAAAGCTATCAACTGGGTGGCATTTTATGTGTTGTTATCAACTTCCAATGTCAAAATCCTCCACAACAAGGAATGTCTATGAGCCTATATATCCTGCAAAATAAAATTAAAAATTAATAGAAGAGAGTTTTTCATAAAGCATCAAATTATGCAATGCTTGTTATGCTTTAATGTCGATATATACTAGTGTACAAATTGATATTCTATAGCAATGAAATGCAGGTTTTGACATTATAAATTACAAAAGTCGATTTCTTGACCTAAGGTGAACAGATAGAAATGATACACCCACATAAGCTATTAATATACATATATTGTCATACCTTTTTTCGACATCTTTCTTTTTTCCACCACTTTATAGCATGCAGAAATGACCTTTTTGGGATTATTGGCTACCGGTTCCTAATTCAAACATTTTAATCTAACGATTCCTGCAAATAAAAAAACAAATGCATTTTCTAAGTCAAAAATGGTGTTCCAAATGTTTGCACTAGTGTTCATCAATTGAATTTGTGGTGTTCAGTTTTTAATGCCTTTGTGTTTCATTTTTGAACACTTGATGTTAGAGTTCTTAACACTTAGTGTTCATCCATTGAATGTGTGGTGTTCAGTTTTAATGCCTTTGTGTTTCATTTTTGAACACTTGATGTTAGAGTTCTTAACACTTAGTGTTCATCAATTGAAT